AGATGGACACTTTGTGCAACTGATCGGTGCTTTCGAAATCCAGCTACAACGGCATTCTTCAAATCTGTTAAAGTCCTGCCTGTATCCCGTGGTGATGGAATTTATCAAAAGGTACTATAAGAGTTTAGGTGCTCATCTTGTTGCAGAGGATGTGAAATACTCAGTATCTCCGTATGTTATTTAAGTATGAAATGCTCATAGTGATGTCTGAAATCATGTGGCTTATATTAATCGATAGGTACTACCTCTGTCCTGAATTAATTGTCCTAGTTTGACTTTATGGATTTTAAGAAAAATGTTGAGAAGTAAAAAGTAGGTGGTTGAAATTTGTTTAGAGAAAAGAGAAAGATTGTGAAGCACATATTTTTTACTTTATTAAGTAAGGAAGATTGACAGTTATTTTGGGACAGACTAAAAAGGAAAGTAGGACGATTATTTTGGGACGGAGGGAGTATATGTGAACATGGAATGTGTAAGCTTTTTGGCAACTCTGTAACATGTTTATTTCGTACTTGAGAGCTTTTTTTAATAGATACTCAGAATGTTTGACTAGTAGTATTTTTATAGTCTATATTCTTACGAGGTGGATATATTCAGTCCAGGCTACCACTTAGGCTTATTTTTAGAATTGTCTTTTTAGAATTATGAGTCAATTGTATTGTGCGTTTTGGCTATTTAGGAAGCAAGAAAGCCAAATCATATCTTGCTGTATGACTTTGAAATGATGTAATCGAATCAAAATTTGACATCACAGATCTTTGTTTTATGGAATATAGAAATAGTGAAATTTGCACTAAATAGGACTAAAACATAATGACTTTCTTAATGTAGGACTTAAGCTTTTTTATTCCCTAAATAGGACTTAATAATGACCTAGTGGAAGAAATAATGTCTAGTAATGATGGACATTTAGTTGAATAATGACTACTTGATAATGACCAAAGGTCCTACATTGGGAAATAAAAACATATGGTCCTATATTGGAAAAGTCATTATGTTTTAGTCCTATTTAGGTAAATTTCTCATAGAAATATATGGAAAATTGCAAGCCGGTCTGCATGGTTTAGTTCTTGTTGATCATTAAACCATTTTATATTCAAGAACTATCTCGTGTATGATATTTACAGTGACAAAGACAACTTCAGATCCTATTGCTAACTCTATTTCATTGATTTGATATACAGGGTATGGACATGGCTATCTCAAAACTCAACCGCGGTGGATGGGTTCACATATTCCCTGAAGGTAGTCGCTCTCGAGATGGTGGGAAAACCATGGGGAATGCAAAAAGAGGCATTGGAAGGTATGCCTATAGGACCCAAGGGCAGTTTTTGTGAAAGATGCATGCTCATTTCCAAAACCTTAAACTTCTTTCCATTGTTAAAATCACCTTAAGCAGGAGAGTTCTAGGAGTTCACAATTTAACATATTCATCTGAGTTTTTAAACCCATGCACCCCACTAATCTCTTGATAGGTTGGTCCTAGATGCTGACCGTGTACCAATGGTTGTCCCGTTTGTGCATACTGGGATGCAAGAAATTATGCCTATCGGGGCCAAGTTTCCTAGAATAGGAAAGACGGTATGTCTATCTCTTTGCCCCGTTGGTAGCTATTAAAAAAACTACTCAGTACTCCCTCTGTCCAACTACTTTTGTCCCTTTTTTACCTTTGTTTTTTTCCCACCTCACTATTTTGTCTCATACCATATTTAGTCATTTGTGTAGTTCACATTCCATCATGTCCCAAAAATAGTGGGATGGAGGGAGCATGGCCGATTCGCATTACTTTTCTTCTACATGGGTTTATTTATATTTTTCTTTGGTGTATGTTTGTGTGTGAGTGTGTGTGAGTGTGTGTGGGGGGGGGGTGAATAGTGAATTGGTGTATTTATTTCTTTTGATTCATACTCTTGCTGCAAACTTCATAGGTGACTGTACTTGTTGGTGATCCCATTGTTTTCGATGACCTGCTTGAGGTGGAAGGAAAACACCACATATCAAGAGGAAAGCTCTATGATGCCGTATCTGCAAGAATTGGTGACCGATTACATAAGCTGAAAGCACAAGTTGACAGGTTAGCAGCTAAACAATCTTTGAGTCAAGTGAGCTCTTTGGAACCCCATTCCAATGCAACCAGTGATGAGCGAGAAGACGACACGAATCAGGTCCCGTGCTTTAGAATGGGCGTTTCTGGTAATGGCGGGTTCGGATCAAGAATCAAAAGTTACATGGATTCAATTGACCCGACACTGTTCTCAGCTAGAGGTTTGTTTGTGAAGCACAGCGCGAACACAAACCCAAACCGTTATACACAAAATATTCATGATATTGGTCAAGTGAGGGTGTGGCGTGACTTCTTGAGGCCGAACTGTGAATTAAACTATTCTGCCTGAGGTAATGTTGGCACTGCTCATTTTTTGTGTCTATAAATATAGAGTTGGTTTTGCCCTTCTGGCCACGTTTTTGTTCGTTTACTTGCAAAACTAAGCACAGCTTGAACTTATAGCATAAGGTTATGATGGACTTCAATCCGTGAGAGGTATTTATGATTATAGATGCTACGATTGTAATTTAGAACTAAAATAGAAGAGATGAAGTTACATAGTGTTCTTTCTATATCAAGTTAGATGGCAGTGCAATAGTTTTGGTCAAGTTTTGTCCTATTCGTTTTAATCATGCAAATTTTGTTAAGGTTATGCATAAAAAACATATACTCCATTGTAGAATAAGATTACAAAGTACCCCGTAGTACATTCTAGCGCTATTCCCAAACGCAATCCAATACTTTTAGACACGATTTCTACCAAAAAATGCCTCCATAAACTCATGAGTACTCAAGAAAATCTTCATATATATTCAACACCACATTCCCCTTGATCAATTCAGCAAAATATCACATAGAATTGAAATGTTTTTGGTCACTAAAAAATTACATGATCGACCTAAAGTTTTAAATAATTCGTTTTTTTTTTTGCAAATGATAATCTTATCGGTGTGGTGATAAGGTTTAATATTTTTTTGCTCCTAGTAAAATTAGTGAATTTTTTGAACGGTCACTCAAATTTTTTTAATTAATCCTTTAATTTGTTTGGTTGTTGTAAGACCATCATTAGATTTTTTTCAGAAACATCATTACATAAGTTGTGAAATGGTGCTACAATATTCTCTCTGTAAAGTTACTATACTACGAGTGTAATTTTTTTAACAATTTGGTATAACTTTTTTTGGAGAGAGTTATCAAAATAGAACTAAAATATGTTTCATATACCAAAATAAGACTTAAATATTTATACTTCCTCCGTACCACTATAATATAATGTTCAACGTATAATACTCTTTTTATATCTCCCAAAATAAGGTTTCAATCTTTATATCAGGTAAACTTTGTATGGTTTATATTAATTCTGACTTCTTTGAACAGCTTTTAACCACTCAATTGTGTTTTTAATCTTCATACACTGTTAATTGTGGAATATTAAAAGGGGACACATGGATCGGAGTACCAAAATATATACTCTCTTCGTTCCACAATGGATGCTACTCTCCGAATGTGTTAAATCTCATCACTTTTTAAATCATTTTAATTATAAATTAGTTTAGAAATAAATTAAATAGTGTAAATTATATCGTTCAAAAGTACATTAAAAATAGTTCTACAAATTGTTGTTCCAATAATTTAAGTCCAATTTGGTTAGATTTTTTTTATTATTTGTACTTCAATTTTTTCTTTTTTTACACCATTGGATGTTAGATTAAATAAAATGAATGTTCGTGAAAAAATTGCAGCCATAAATGGTAGGTCCTCCAAGACCACCTACCCCTTGCCCTTCTCTCTCCCCATTAGTTTTCCATTTTTTTGGTAAATAAATTAAACTGATACAATCGTGCATATATTCTCCCGAGCAACATAAACAAGATATGAGTTTCAATATCTTTAAATATCAAAATTCTTTTTCGATGTCTCGTGAAACCAAAAAGGATATCGAATTCGATATCTCTAGATATCATAAATTTTTCAAATGGAAAATTTTGATATCTCCTGAATTTGGGAGATATTAATATGTGGTTTGATACTTCTCAATTATTAATCATTCTACATCACCAAATACCATTATCACCACCAACCACCTCCATATTTGATTATCCTCAGTTATTACTAATTGAATCATTATTTTAAGAGAAATGATAGGGGTACACTAAAGGTGTACCCCAAATATCCCCCACCCCCTCCTTGTCCACAATAATTGGCAAAAATTTTTTAAAAAAAATTAAATAAATAAAAATCAAATAAAAATGTGTGATGGGAAAGCATGTGGTGTACAATTGGGGTACACTTTTGGGGTACCCCTAACATGGCTCTTATTTTAAATGTCAGTTAAAAATATCATATCTTAGAGCACCTCCAACCACAGATGTTAAACATGATTTGCTAAAGTCTTTTTTTAGCATGTGAATAGTGATATAGCAGGTCATTTTGCATTGTCATCTCCAACCTCCCATTGCTGCTATAATTTGGCTAACAATTATACATTGTTTTCACTATTATAATACACTCTTTATAATAATTATTCAATTGTTATTTTATATTAAAAAAATTAAGTAATAAGTATGTAATTTAAAAATAATAATTTCAAAAAAAAATATGGAGTAATATTTTAATTTAGGGAAAATAATAAAATATACGGAGCATTATTTTATATATTTAAAAAATACCAATTAAAGAATAGAGAAAAAAACTTTACAAAAAGTAAAAAATTAGAGAGTAAAAGTAACTACATATTTTGAGGAGAATGAGAGAAAAGAAGAGAGAAACCAAATATTTAATTAATATCATGGTTTGCTATATTTTGAGAGGCTTGGTATATATAACAATCCAAAATTAAAATTTACCAAGTGTGCTATAATAAAGCATGCCCCTTGGAGCACACAAATTAAAATGGATTGCTAAATAATGACATTTAACAAGCTAAAATTTAATGGTTGGAGATGCTCTTACAAGTCACGAAACTAACCCTTAGTTTAAAAAATTTTCCTCTCCTCCTAGAAAAAGAGTGCCCAAAATCTCCAAGTTACACCGCACCACTTCGCTCTCACATAGTCACATTCGCCGACTCTCCGTCCTGCTTAAAACCTTCGTTGACACTTTTCCAAGTTGAAACTTGAACGCAGTGCTAACCCTAGTCTCTTCTCCTTTTCCCATAAGGTAATCGTCTCCAAGCTCGTATATCTCTCTCTCAAAATATGTCTCTTATTCTTCATTCGGTGTGATTCGCCCTTGTTCATTCTTGTTTACTTTTCAGTTTTGCAGATTGTTTTGTTTGTTCTCGCCAGATTCGGATTGCCGTTCTTCCTAAAATGGTGTAATTTTAATGTGTTTCTCCCCCCTTCAGTAGCTAGGGTTTAGGGGTTTCAGATTTGTTTCTTTTAACCTCTGATGCCGTTTACCTTTTTGTTTTCTTCTTATCTCAGCTTCCGCTTTCTCTCCTCAAAACTGCCCAGGGGCATCCCATGGTAAGATTTAGTATCTCTCCGTCTTTTTCTTGAAGAAACTCTTTATTATACCCCGTCCCAAAAGTAAGAGTCATGAAAAATAGTCCTATTTTTCAACAATACAAGTTAAATTTTATAATTTATAGTGTTTTTTAAAAAGTAAGTATACGAGTTAGTTGTAAATTTAGTTAAATCAGTAAATAAATTTGAATATACAATTAAGTTTTGATGACTTATACATTAGTGAAACATTACCCTTTCTCTGGGATGAAATGGGGTAAACATTTGTTCTGTTTTGGATTATTTTCTTCTTAATATACAATATTTCTCTTTGCAGCTGGTGGAACTAAAGAATGGGGAAACTTATAATGGGCATTTGGTAAATTGTGACACATGGATGAATATACATCTCCGTGAAGTCATCTGTACTTCAAAGGTACTTAACCATATCCTCTTAACTGGTTCTTTGAATCTTTGTAATGCTAAATTTCTTGGTACTGCAGCACTCTATATTGATGTTTACTTTTTGAAAATTATTTGTGCAGGATGGAGATAGGTTTTGGAGAATGCCAGAATGTTATATTCGTGGGAACACAATTAAATATCTTCGAGTTCCAGATGAGGTTTGGACACTGCTTAAAATTTGTAACTGCTACTTTTCACAAATTGTTTTGATATTGTATGAGAATGTATCTCAATGCATTGTTTGACTTGTAATTCTCGTGCTTCTTGCTGATTATTAGTTCCAGCTACATAAAAACTGCTAACCCTCTAAGCAGGATGGCGGAGAGCATTGTCTTCTTGTTTACTAATTTACACAAGTAGTGTCATGTGCAAACACAGTATTCTATAAGCATCACTTTGGTCTAGGATAATCACTTATATCATATTATAGTCCAAGAGAGTTGTATTTTATGTGAACAATGTTTCGTTTTTGTTTAGGAGTTATTGCAGCTTTCTATGGTTTACTATTGTGTTGGGTGAGTGCTAAGCTGAAATAACATTGATGGGGCTTAAACAATTGTAGTTTGGAGTTTTTGCGTGTCTGTGTATTTGCGCGCGCACGGAGTTTTTGTGTGTGTGGAAAGCATGTCATTTTTTCTGGGATGATGCAATTTAGCCAAAGCAGACAATGATGTGCTCCTAAAGGTATTGTGGTTTCATTACCTTTAGTTGAAGTGCATCACTGTGAAGATAAAATTGAGATTGGTTTCTTTCTGACCAGAGCTTTCCTCATGCAATTATTCTCTTTTAATTTTTATTTGCAACTTGAGTAAATCATTTCTGTGTGTTGGATTTCTCCATACATGGTAGTGTGTCACTTTGAAAATTGAAGTGTGTGCTCCTCAAACAATGATTCTATTTCAATTTCTATTTAAAAGTTTATTTAATCATGCCTGTGAACTGTTCTTTTTTCATATCTTTGTCTAGTTATATGCTCACTACTACTGTCATTTGTGGCTTGTCCTCTAGGTGATTGATAAAGTTCAAGAAGAAACAAAAAGCCGAACAGGTACCATTATTTTAATTTGAATATTTTTTTAGGACTGTTAGTGCCAGTAAACAAAACAATAGATGCACACGAAGAACGAGTACCACTTTAGAGTAGGTTCTGGGGAGGATGGGATGTACACAGACCTTGCCTCTATTTAGAAAGGCTGTTTCCCTGAAAAAGCTTAGGAAAAATTTGGGGAAGTTTTGCAATATGTAAAGAATTTGAATGTTTTGAATATAATTGTAATTTTTTGTAGGAAAAAAGACTTCTAAGGGTGAAAGGGAATGTGAACAATGTGGTCAAAACATTTTTGGCAATAAGAACAAAAAAAATAGATTCAAATGAACAGTAGGAAAGGAATGTGCGGAGTACTAGCTCATGCCAAACAAACGCCCACACAACACTCCACCAACTACATGACTAAGAGAGCCTCATCCCTCAACACTATGCTTTCAAACACTAATCAAGCAACCTTTTGGCATGTTTGGAAACTTAAACTCAGATTTCAAATTTAGATTTGACTCAAATAACGTGTTTGGGAATCCAAAAAATTTGGATTTAGCCCGAATCCTCTAATTTCCAACAAAGCTCAATTACAAACCCATACCCTTCCCCTTGTAATTTCAAATCCAAGAATTCAAATTTTTGAATTGGAATGTAATGGTTCAAATAAATTCTTAATTTCCAAACACTATCTTATTGTGAAATCCCTTCGTCCTGAATTAGTTGTTGCATTTTTTGGGTTGTTCCCTAAAAATTGCACACATTAGTTTTCTAACAAAGGTTGTGGTCCAAAATTCTCTTCTAAACAAATGTCTACCATTCACTTTTTATTTTTGATCATGTTCCTTAAATTACTTGAAGTCAATTGGTCCAAATCAAACCTGGAAGGATGGTGTATAGTTCAAAAACAAAATCCTTTCACATTAATACTTTTTATTTAAACATATTTACATTCAAATTGTTTATATATGAGACTCCCTAAATTTGTTTCAAATTCTCTAAAGATATTAAAGGATGCCAAAAAGCATCAAACATAAATGTTCTAACACTATCAATTGAAGGATGGAGCATGTTGAACAAAACTTGATATCACTGTACAAAAATAATCTTAAAGTAAACCATGAATCTGAACAGGATTAATAAACAAATGCATGTCTGCAAGTTAGTATGATGTATTGAACTTCATTAAAGTATAAAGTAGGAAATGTCATGTTCCCAAGAGTGTCGACTGTTAGATAGCTTATAAAAATCTATAAATTTAGGAAGTCACTTTCAAGAACACTCAGTGTGTGGAAAGAGTTAGAAAGGCTCTTCTTAAGGTGCGCTCGTGTGCGTGCACACATGAACCTACACACACATGCGACACTAACAAACTGACGATGTTTGCATCTATTGAAATGTTAAAAGTTAAAGTGATTTTATATTATTAAATTCCATTGAATTACTAATTGAAGAAGCTTTCAGTGAAAAAATGTGAAAATTATAGTAGGGACGAGAAGAATGAGACACATTATCATAGTTTAAACTTGGCATATTAGTATTTACACAGGTTTCCAGAGCATTAACAATAAACCTTAAAGTCGCATTAATAGAAAACCCGATAATGAGAACCCTAATAAAACCTGAGGAAGAAAATTAAGGTGTTACCCACCATGCTGAAGAATAGTGATATGTATATGTATTTTCCTTGACAAGACAACTAGTGATATGAGTGAACATGATACAGGGGTTGTGCAACAAAATGAAAAGGGTAGTCTGTTTTTGGACATTTCTGTGTGGGGTTTGCCTTAGTTCTCAGAAGCATAGATAGTCTATATTATGGCTGTACTCCTATCAACTATGTGCATTAAATTTCACATAAAAGTGTTGACTTGAAGGATTTAATGAGTTATACTTCCTGAAAGATTTCTTTACAAATCTTTTTTTGAACTCTTCTAACTGACTTTCTTTTTTTGGTTTGTTTATATGCTTTCACAGATAGGAAACCACCTGGTGTAGGGCGTGGCCGGGGCAGAGGTAGAGAGGATAATGTTGCTGGAAGACAGGGAAGAGGAGTTGGGCGTGGGATGGATGATGGAGCTGCCAAAGGCCGTGGAAAAGGAGGCCCTGGTGGTAAGCCTGGTGGCAAAGGTATGAGATTCATTCAAAAACGAAAAAAAATTCCACGTTTGCTCCCATGACTATAAGGCCATTCCCACTCTCGTTTCATAAGCTTTATTTTTTCCTTGCATTTTTTGGTGCATGGCTATGGATATCCTTCCAATGGTGGGAATTTCCTTACAGGTCAGACCAAAAGTGTGAACTCTTTTAATTCAATCAATCTTATGCTTCATATATCCTTGGTTTTGAAAATGGCCTCTATCAAAAGCCATCTCCCCATTATGCCAATAACCCTCTAGTATTCTTAAAAGGCACTTGCTTTGAGAGCTAACTCTATATTACTCCCTCTTTTTCAAAAATATGTGTTTCCTCTAGTTTGTTTGTTCCAAAATTTTGTTTTTTTAGGAAACAAGTATACATGATATGTCTCATTCTTTTGTTCTGCATGAATTTCAACCACTCAATTTTTACTTAATAGATGTGCCCGGTCACACACATGCACACATACAGCATATGACATTGTTTTTGGTAATAAATAATTGCGCTTATTTTGTGCGACAGTTGGAGGTCGTGGGCGTGGCTAATATTTCCCAGAAGGGTAATATCGAAAAGCACTTGGAAGAGGGCAAATGTGAGTTCAAGAAACAAAATCTCTCCCTTATTGTCCTTCCTGATTTGTTGGAGGGTCATCAATTGGAAGTGTTATTATTCCTTCCTCTATATTAATTAATTGCTAGTGGGATGAAATGTAACTACCATTCTCTAATGGTAAGACATAGTGTTTTTGTAAGTTTATTTTATTACTTCTTATAAGATTAATTTTGTGTTTTTAGTTTTTTTGTTAACAAATGTGGTTTTTTGTGGTTTCATGTTGATCCTTTATATAGGCTCTGTTTGGGAATCCGTTTTTTGTGCAGTTTTTTTTCTTGGGCAGAATGAGCCAAATTTATCTTTCTATATGGAATTGGCGAGTTTTAAAACTGTTTCAAAAAGTGAGCTAAAATGTGTTTATGGAGTATCAACAATGTTATTCAAACTTTGGTTAATCTGCGTGGATTAATTTCCATCACAAAGTTTTTCATAGCTTATTTTTGCATGCCCATTTTTCAACTCATGTATTACACGTCCGAATTTACCTCGTGTAGCGTACGTTCAATGTTTGGATATCGACATTCATCGAAAGCAAAAACAGTGTTTCACACGCTAAAATGTGCATTCTTGAGAAGAAAACACTTGAAGACTAAATTAAGTAAGCATTGTATAGAGTAAGAGAAATGCTACTCCGTATATCGTTAAACACTCTCTTTGTCTTATAGATTTTTTTTTCTTCTAATTTTCCCTGCTCACTGTAAAAAAAACCACACTTGTTTTATTTCATTTTACAAAATAAACGTGTGATTTAAGCAATCTCTCACATCTAAATGAATTTCAACTTAAAATATTCAAAAATTTATTGAGTTTCGTTGAAATAATTTGTAGGCTTCTGCATCTTCAAAAGAGTTTTACATTTTATTATGAAAATTAAGAGGCGACATTCGTCCACTATTTTGTTAATGATCGTGAATGTATGTACACAGTACACCCAATTGTATAATGCCTTCTCTACCTGAATTAAATCATCCATTTTCTTATTTTCGTTTGTTTGAAACTACTTATTTTTTCATATTTAGTAAAAAAATGATGAATAATCCAATTATCCTAGATATAAAGCTGAAAATGCTCACTAATATCTGCCTAAGACTTATCTAATACTGCTTCTCTCCTCAATTACTCTTCACACTTTTTTCTACTCTTTACTTTTCTACTCCGTAGTACTCCCTATAAAAAAAGAATGCATGTTCTACAACTCTTTTTGTGATAAACAATTCAATTGTTTACTTTTAAATTTTAAAAACTTTTCTTAACTTTCATAAAAATCGTACTACCTTTGTGTCAATGTATTTTCCAGTTTGAATTTTTTGAATCAAACTAAATAAATTTTGAACTTCAATTCAATAAAAGATGTAATGCATATTTGTATTAAAATGACTTCATTAGATATAGGAGTATATCTTATTAAAAATTTTTGAAATTTTATTCCATTTTACTTAGATAAATTGAAAGTAATTAAAGTTCAAAATTTGTTCAGTATGATTAAAAAAAGTAAAATTAGACAAATACAAGTCAAAATTTCTTGTTAAAATTATTTCGAATGGGATTGAAGTTTTTTTTTTTAAAAAAAATTATTTTTTCTTTCTTCATAGAAATGAAGTGGGGCCGCTTGCCCCCTCTGACAGGCCAGCACTAACACTCGGCATATATTTTGTCTTGTAATTAACAACAGACACCATTTGTCTTCCAGTTTCGAGCCAGAGTATAATAATCTCAAATCTCTTATCTTATCTTAGTGATGGGCGATATCAGAGAAGAAGAAGAAGAAGAAGAGGCTTCCCTCGAACTGCCGGAAAAACATTCTCAGAAGGCAAAGCGTGTGGCTTCTCTGGATGTCTTCCGAGGTCTTACTGTAGCGGTACGTGTGCAGTATTTTGCTATGATAATAATAATAATAAACATATTTGAAGACTGTTAGAGTATATATGCTTTCTTTTCGCTTTGGTTGGATTGGTTATTTGACGTGATATCGGAGTCCAGTCCTATTTGAAAACCTTTGAGGTGATTGGATGTATGCAGTCTCAACAGTTTTACAAAACAAAAAGTTTAAAAAAAAATACTATTTTATTTTAATAAATTGTCAATGAAAATATGTTAGAAAATAAGATATAGTTTGACAAGGTGAATATTAGGCCTAATTTTGTGACGAAGGGAGTATATTGTTAGGTGTTAGAGTGTACTCTTGTCCCTTTGAATTCTTTACACTTCCAAATTTAGCATTACACCAAATTCAACCTACCAGAATCTCACAAAAAGTATGGTCTGAGGAGGGTGTGTCTATGCAAACCTTACCCCTACTTGAAAATTGGGACTGTTTTTAAATAGAAAATTTAGCATTATTAATGTTATAAAAAGAAGATTCACATGGCTGTAGTCAGACCAGCAATGCTCTATGGGGGAGAGTGTTGGGCAGTTAAGAAGATTCACGTGCATGCGACAGAGATGCGGATGTTGCGGTGGATGTTTGGGCACACGAGGCTGGACAAGATTCTGAACGAAGTTATTCGAGGTTGGTTAGGCATGGCGCTGGTAGAAGATAAGATTCGAGAGGTAGGTTGAGGTGGTTCGGACATGTGAGATGGTGGAATGTTGAGATGCGAGACGCTTACGTTGGTAGGGGGAAGCAGGGGAAGCGGTAGACCTAGTAAGGGTTGGAAGGAGGTGATTAGATAGGACTTAGAATTTCTTGCTTTTACTAAGGATATGGCCTTAGATAGGAACGTTTGGAGAGATAGGATTATAGTAACTGGGTAGGTACCTTGCTCTAGGGGGTGTTGTTGTCGTGTGCTTTGTAGGACTTTTATGCTTAATACTCTCGTTTCGTAACTTTATTTAAGATAGTTTAGTTTTAATTCTATGTGCTTGGTGCTTTATTGCATTGTAGGCTTGTAGTTGTGCTTTTTTTGTTTTGTGTATCTTTTGTGATATTTTAATGTGCAGTTTGAGCCGGGGGTCTCATGGAAAAAGTCTCTCTACTTTTGGGTAGGGACATGGTCTGTGTACACACACCCTCCCTAGGATCCAACTGGGTTGTTGTTGTTGTAATGTTATAAAAAGTTTATTTTACCCTTTTGTACACCATTCACATAATCTCAAATACCCCACCCTAATGTAATAATTGTACTATGAGCAAATATGGAAACTAAACAATATTCTTACATTTACCTAAAACTTCCTACAACGATGGGCAAATTCTTATGTGATTCTTAGGTTCACATTCATTTTATGGGCCTTTTACAAAAAAGAAAATATCTACATGTAAACCAATGAAAAGTGCGAGACGGTCCACATTTCATATGTGGACCTTAGGACCACAGAAACACAACTCAACTATATGGTATTTTCTCTGTCAAGAATCCAAAGGGACGGAGGGAGAAGGAAATATTTGGGTCTCCAACTACAAGTTTGAGTTTTTGGTTGAAATTATCTTATGATATTAGACAGAATTTATAGTTACTGGCATACCGTGGTAAAAATTCAGAGATTTGTAGTCTGATTGTGGACTTTAGTGAGCAGTTGATGGTGTTGGTTGATGATGCGGGGGGAGAGTGGCCGGTGATAGGGCATGCGCCTTGGAATGGATGCAATCTTGCTGATTTTGTGATGCCATTCTTTCTCTTCATTGTGGGAATGGCTATTTCACTTTCACTCAAGGTTTCATCTCTCAATTTCATTCATTCATTCAAATCCCCCATTTGCTACTTTAACTTTAGGATTATTAGCTCTTTTCCTTCACGGTCCGTGCGAGAATAACACCATCTTTGACACCACGGATGACAACCATGCTACTGCAACATTTATTATTTTGCCTTGTAATTAATATGTAGAGAATACCTGAAAAACTTGTGGCTATCCGAAAGGTGATCTTAAGGGCACTCAAGCTTGTTTTTTGGGGACTTCTATTGCAAGGTTAGTGTTAGTACTTTGTGTATAACCTATAGAAAACAAGTTATCTATTTTATTGTTTAGAGCAGATTATACAACATGTTTCAGGAAATACTTAAAACGGTTGCATTTCTAGTATCAAGTCTTTATTTTTTTCTCTCTTTCAAATGTGAAGGAGGCTATTCACATGCCCCAGATAAACTGACCTATGGTGTGGACTTGAAGAGAATAAGGTGGTGTGGCATTCTCCAGGTAATGTAATTATAGTAATATTAATATTAATATTATTTTTGTATCTTTTCCCTTTGTGTTTAAGTTGTATCTCTTGGAAATAGCTTCTCTTCTGAGTAGGGGTAAGGCTTGCGTACCCCCCCCCTCTCACAAGACCCTCCTGTTTTGTGGGATCCTACTAGGTTTGTTGTTGTTGTTCTTTCTTATGTGTGTCGTGTTAAATCATCCTACTTGGGTAGAATTTCATTAAAACTAAAGAAATGTATAGAACATATATTCCTCCTCGTGTAACTTTTAGGATGGAACGCTGAGAATTAATAATATGTTATACTAAATGGTTTTCTAGAAAGATCTGTTCCAATGAGCTAGCAATACATATAAAGTCATCCCACACTACACATTCGCCTATAAAAATATGACCATTTAACATGAAATCCCAATTCTTTATATGCATAGTGAGAGGATTTCCTTTTAATCCCATTTCTCTAGAGGATCGCTCTTGCGTATTTCATGGTGGCCATGATAGAGATCTCAATGCAAAAGACACAAGCTAAGATTCTATCTCGGGGACCATTTTCCATTTTCAAAGTATACTATCGACACTGGTGAGTGTCACTTTGCAAACATATTATATTGATATTGATTGTGAATGGTATCTCTAGCATGTGATTTTCAGAGCCATTTTTGATGATATAGTCCGCGTGATCTGCAGGGCTTTTGGAGCTTGTGTTTTAGTAGTTTACTTGGCCACATTGTATGGAACTTATGTTCCTGACTGGCATTTTGTTGTGAAAAATACAAACAGTCCCGACTTTGGGAAAACATTGACTGTGAGTTTCTCCTTAAAAAAACAAAAAAGCAAACAACAAATCTTGAGAAAGTTTTGTTCTTTTAATAATACTATGTAATAAAGATGTTTGCTTTTGCTTCTTAGGTATCTTGCAATGTACGAGGGAAACTGGACCCTCCTTGTAATGCAGTGGGTTATATCGACAGAAAAGTGCTGGGAATCAATCACATGTACCCACATCCAGCTTGGAAGAGATCAATGGTGATTTCTATTTTATTTTCCTTTCTTCTTCTTCTGCTTCTTTTTTCTTGAAGTACATCTTCTGATCTGAAGCCATTGTAGGCTTGCACGAAGAGCTCTCCACATGAGGGCCCGTTCAGAAGTGATGCACCCTCTTGGTGTTGGGCTCCTTTTGACCCAGAAGGAGTACTAAGGTGAGGGAGTAGGATAAAATGTTCCGTCAAGTCGTACTATAGTTAGATTGTTCTCATAAAAGTAGTACTCCTTCCATAGTTTTCATCGTGTTTCGGTTTATGATGTCTGGACAAAGTTATTTTCAATTCAATTTTATTTAATTATTGGTGTAAAATCCCAAAAATGAAATTTATATATTTAAAGATTACATCAAAAGTTTTATAAAACAAGAGGTGACATGATCACATGGCTATGTTATCTCAACAATCGAGTAAAATGAGTGGAAAAAATGATATATTTTGACCATGTATAGTAACACTGGCTTTATATATTTGTTTATGAATACAGCTCAATTTCTGCTATCCTCTCCACTGTTATTGGAGTTCATTTCGGACATGTTCTTATCCATTTCAAGGTTAGGTCAATGGTTGCCGGGTATAATTGCACGTTTCGGCCTCTTTATCATCCCAATGACTTTAATCTTGAATTTAAACTGTCAGGGTCATTCTTCTCGACTTCTGCATTGGATTGTCACTGGACTTATTCTTCTGATTTTAGGAATCACCCTTCACTTCACAGATGGTATAATGCAGTGCCAAAGCATTTAGGCAGTGTTTGGTAACAAGGAAATTCGTTTCCAAGCCCGTGGAAGAAAAAGGTTTTCCCAAAGAAAATAAGTTTTCCTTTACATTTTCCATGCACAAACCACATCTTTTCAAGGTGGTGTAGAACTGAAAATGGTTTCCTCTTTATCTTCTACCGAACACGGGAAAAACAAGAAAATGGGTTTACTCAAGAAGCATTTCTCGTGTACCAAACACTGCCCTAATAAAAGTTCAAGTCTTCTCATTGCGGTTTCGATTTCTTCAAACTCCATATTCTTTGGTTGCAGCAATTCCTCTAAATAAGCAATTGTACACTTTCAGCTATGTGTGTGTGACATCTGGTGCAGCAGCATTAGTTTTCTCAGCCTTGTACATTCTGGCAAGCCGTTACAAATTACAATCATATTCTGTCCCTCTTTCATAGTCTATAGCTAAGGGTTTTTTTGGAAAACAGCCATAGTTTTTTTTTTTTTGCAGGTTGATGTTGGCAACCTTGGATGTCTGGTTCTACCACTGGAATGGATTGGGATGAATGCGATGCTCGTTTACGTTATGGCAGCTGAAGGAATTTTCGCAGGTTTTATCAATGGTTGGTACTATGATGATCCTCACAACACTCTGGTATGTTTCATTCAACTCTTCCACCTTTACATTTACACTATGTTTGGTTCGAGGATTTTGAAAGGGAAGAGAAAAGAAAATGAGATGGAAACCGTTTTCCTTGTTTGGTTAGAGAGGAAAAGAAAAGAAAAATGGAAGGAAAAGAAAATGAGAAGGCAAAATGTAATAAGAGGAAAGGAGAACCAAAATCCTCCCATTTTGGCGAGGAAAATAAGAGAAAATTTTCTTTTCTTTTCCTTCCAAAAATTTCTTGAACCAAACATAGTGTTAGCTTGTTGTATACACAAAAGTCACAAATTGTTTTTTTTTTGACGGGGAAATATTCTTGTTAGTTTTGCGCCACTTGAGTTACTCCATATTATATAGCGACGTGTGGAGTTGGTCTCAAAAATCACTTCATGAGTTTACCTCTTATGTTATTCCTCAAAAATCACCAAAAAAAATCCGACGTAACTAAAAAAATATCAACTTAGCGTCGATCGTCTCGATTTTGATGCGATTAAATTGCTCATAATGAAGCCATGTTTGCAGGTATATTGGATCAAGAAGCATGTGTTTATTGGAGTGTGGCATTCAACTAGAGTGGGGATTCTGATGTATGTTATCTTTGGTGAGATATGTTTCTGGGCTTTCATTGCTGGGGTGTTTCATTGGCTTGCCATTTACTGGAAACTTTAGTTGTATTATGTATATATAGATCAGAACTCTATACCCCAATTCTTCCAGTCCTGCTAAAGCCTTTGTCTCTGTGTGTTGCAATGTATATATTGAAAAAGATATATATTGTGGTTGTAATAAATATGCACTGTATATATGATGGAATCTCTAGACAAATACACTGGAATTACTACTTTACATTTAGATTTATAATACTTCGTATAAGAACTCTCAAAGTCTCAAGAATTTACATTTAGATTTAATAAATAAAGTAAATGAGAGTAGATGTGTTGGCTAATTATCAAGTTGATTAGGATTATCCGAGATAATCTAGTTCGGGTAGAAATAGAATTGTGGGTCATAGAACTAATTAGCTTACTTGTTGACCAAGCTGGGTTAACATTATATATATCATAGTCAAGTCTTGGGTTTTGATATGAGAACCATATGAGATTTATATGAGGCGTAGAGTCAAACATAGTGTTAGTGTTCACCAGATCTATCGGTAGAGGCGTAGAGTCTCAAGTCCTTCTCTCTCGCACATCGGCGTCGCCTTGTACCAGGAGGGTCACTGCCAATGTTTTAGACTCCGGTTCTCCCTCAACTTCAAGAACCCGTCTGATAAACTAAATCCAATTGATTGTTCGTTGCTCTTCAATTTTCTAGATTTGAATTTTATTTCTTCAATTTTTTTAGATCTGAGATTTAGATTTTGATGATTTTTTAATAAGCTGAGGTTAAAGAGGAAGAAGGGGGTTAAGAATAAAGGGGATATGGCCTATGAAAAAAAAAGAAAAATTAGAAGAAGAAGGGGTAGGTGGGGCGGGTCAGATAGAAGAAGATGAAAACAAAAGGATACAGTGGGGAGAAGGAGAAAAAGTGAAGGGTAAAACAGGAAAGTCAAATAATTTTTCATTCTACATTAAAAACCGTGCCAAATCAAAACGAGAAGTTTCAACTTGGACGGAGGGAGTATATCATAGTCAAGCCTTGGGTTTTGATATGAGAACCATATGAGATTTATATGAGTATAATTGCATTAGGTTTTGAGTTACTCCTTCCGTCTTAAAATGATCTTCCTAGTTCGATTTACTAGGATTGATTGAAATTATTCTCAATTTAATTTGTTAGATTATAGGTATAAAATTAAAAAATAATAATTATATATTTTAAAAGTATATCAAAATATCTACAAAAACAAGATGTGACATGACTATATTATTTTATCAAAAAATAACGAAAATAGGCAATGAAAGTGATTATAGTTTGACTGAATAGTGTCGGGGAGTTTTCAAAAAAAAAAAATAGTGTTGGGGAAATCATTTAGGAAGGAGGGGACGGAGGGAGTATATTTTCCTAAAATAATACTTCATGTCTTCTATTTAGCACAAATTAAAGAAAAAAATCTTTGGTTCCTCTGAAACCAAGCGCCGCTGATCCATTGGTTCAATCTGAAGTGCGCAGTAGAGGGAGAAACAAAAGATCTGCCGCTGATTGAGAAGGAAAACCGTCGTGCAGAAGACAGCCGCAACGTTGCTCCAATTGCGCCACCGACCGTCAAGAAGCCGCCGTTCAGATTGTTAGGTAGAAGGTTCAGATTCCCAGATGAATCACTTACAAGAAAACTTAATTGAACTAGAAATTGAGGGCGAGAATGTTTTACTGGCACGACAGCAGGTACTACAAATGCCACATGCCGCACAAGTCTTTTTACTATTCACAAATATTTCTTACAGTATTTGAAAGAGAAGTTGCTAACGTGATTGCAGTTGGTTGAAAACGACAAGGAACGAAACGGAAACAGGGAAGCATTGACAGCGTTAAGGAAGAGAGCCAAAACATCAAAAAGCAGCATAGCTTCACCTTTCGAGTCAATCATGAGGGATGTTGAGTCAAGACCATTGGTGAGAGAAGTTTGTTCAACTTGTGGCAATCATGATGTGAACGAAAGAAAATGGCTTATGTTTCCGGGAACAGATGCATTTGCTAGTATTCCATTTCATGCTGTTCATACCATTCTGGAGCAAGGTTTCTTCCTCTCACTAAATTGTTTGTGTTCTCTATTTAGGATATGATCTTTTTCTGTGTTTACAACTTTACATATCCACGCGATAAAAAGAATGTGTATCGATCAACTAATCATAGCTTGGTATTAAATATTAAAATCTAATCATTGTGATTGTTCTGGTTCATAAAATTTGGATGCATGATATTTTTCATAAGTCTATTGACCAGTGCCATGTCAAAAAAATTGAAAGATGTCTAACTCTAGATGTAGTAAGAGCAATATAATTCACCGAGAAGACTTATAAGTTATAATGGTAAAACAATTAAAAAAACGCCATCTTGAAGCATACTTTTATCTGTTAATGATGGATGGAGGCTTGGAGCAACAACAACAACAACCTAGTTGGATCCAAGGAAAGTAGGGTCTGGGGTTGGAGGCGTAGCCTTTGTTTCAATGCAGGAATTGTAACAACACATCAGTTGGGTTGGATTAAGATGGTTTTGAAATTGATTACATTTATAGTGCTATGGAATCGGGCTGGAAGTATGACAAGCATTAAAAAATTGACAATTTGTATTGAAAAGATAAGCAAGTGTAGAGTTCGTAAAGATGGTGGTTCACCCTATGCGGCCTACATGCCTATTGGCTCTTCATCTAAAATGTGTCTTAGCTAGAACTCATCCTTTCTCCTTTTGATGACTTGAAGAAGCTGTGATTTGTTAGTCAACATATGCGTTCTAACAACCTAAGCACATATACATGCATTAGGTAAAATATGAAATAGAGAAATTAAATGAAGGATTGAGGTCCAAATGGTTCAGCTCAAATGTCTCCAAACCTAATCTGTAATATAGTTCCTTTTGCATTACAAAACCTTATTTTTTACTCACATTAAATCAGATTAGAATTGGATGGAGGGTTTTGAAGGGAAGGGCTCTGGATGCTTAGTCTTGATAAGTTAAATGTTTCTAAAAATATATAAGGATACTGAAATGCTATATACACATGTTATGTTAATCATTAAATTATTAAAACAATTTTATAAATATATCAAGACATAGACCAAGCTCTCCAAAGCCGCCCTCCCAAACTCTTCAATGCAAACATATCCTTGAGTTCCGCAGAAAGCCCACAACATGGAATGGTTTAACTGACACCATCACTTTTGACTCTGATGCAGATCAAAACCGACTAGATTGTGAAGCAAAGAAACTCCAGAGCTATATCAAGGAGAAGTCCTTTTGCATATCGGAAAAAGGAGGTCTTGCTGACAGGATCAGCCCCAGCGTTCTTCGATCCCTAGTGACCTTATCTGATGCACCAAAGAAAGTTGTGCCACCTGAATGACTCCATCTGAATGACCTGTTCGCTGATAACTACGTGCTCTCCGCCACTTTTTTTCTCCAGATTTTTTGGTGATCATTATGTTTTCCCTCTCAGGAGGAAAATTAGATACTGATTTCAAGCATGAAGGACCGGTTCATGTATTGTGATTCCCATTACTTATTTTCAATATTTAGTGCTCACTTTATGTCATGCTGTACAACAACAACAACAACCCAGTTAAATCCCACAAGAGTAGGGTCTGGGGAGGGTGTGTGTACGCAGACCTTGCCCCTACTCGAAAGTAGAGAGGCTGTTTCCAAAGAGACCCCCGGCTCAACATCGAAAGTTGCAGTGTTTGACTAATTGCTACTTCATTAATTAAAGAAGCGCAGATAGTTTAGAGATCCATTTTGATTTATTCCATCATGCTGTAGCGGTGTTTAATCGTTCATATTTTGTCAATTACCCCAAGGAATCCCAAGTCACAATGGTTCTTGTGAATGACATTGTTTGCAATATGCTTAGAGATCTTAACTAAGTGGAAAGCCACATGGGGGCAAAAATCTTGTCAGCGTAGAAGGATGAAAAGTTAGGATGATAATCAGGGGTCGCCATGGAAATTACCAGATGGGGGAAAATATATCAAAAAAAATATTTTAAATGAACCCACTCTTTCATCCCACAATTTTTTTCTCATGATAACCCGACTTGCTTTTGGGGAGGAAGAAGTATTGTGAGGACGGAGATAATTTCGTGTTCCAACGGTTTGAGCCCTCCTACCTCATTTTTATATTAATTTTTGGTACTATCTTTGGACTGCTAACTCTCACGTCGGCCCACATATCTGATTTCTTAAGACATTGTTTATAAGGAGACGAATGAAGCTTTTTGAGTTGGTATCCAATGCTAGGTAATGTGAACTAGGTAATGCAATTAAAATATTTGGGGATTTTCTTGTGAACCAAAGATTGCCATAGAATATCAAGTCATCAGATTGTGGTTTCTCTTTTTTCAAGCTCCTTATCCTTTGGTTGCAGCAATTCATCTAAATAAGCAATTTTACACTTTCAGCTATGTGTGTGTGACATCTAGTGCAGCAGCATTAGTATTCTCAGGCTTGTACATATTGGCAAGCCGTTACAATCATATTTTATCCTTTATGGTTGTTGGAAAACAACTACTTCCTCCGTCCCTAAAGATCTTATGCATTTGACTTTCATAGAGTTTAAGAAAAGTATTGAAAAGTGAAAAGGTGTACTTAGAATTTGATATGAAGAGAGTTTTTTTTTCTGGCCATTTGTTCTTTTCCTAAAATTCTAAAATGTAAAGGGAAGATTTTTTTCTGGACCGACGAATGGAAAAGGAAAGAAGGAAGATGTCTATGGGAAGGAGGGAGTATAATTTTTTATTTGCAGGTTGATGTTGGCAACCTTGGGCATCTGTTCTCCCATTGGAATGGATTGGGATGAATGTGATGCTCGTTTACGTTATGGCAGCTGAAGGATTTTTTTTAGGTTTTATCAATGGCTGGTACTATGATGATCATCACTGCACTCTGTTATGTACTACGTATTATTCAATTCTTCCACCTTTACACTTAGCTTGTCATAGAGCATAGAAGTCACAAATTATCCTTTTTTTTGGAAATATTTGGGTTAGTTTTGTGCCACTTGAGTTATTATATAGCGACGTGTGGAGTTGGTCTCAAAAGCACTTCATGGGTTTACCTCATATGTTATTTTTGTAGACCACTGTACAAAAATACATCCCGATTCTATCCTCTTCATTGGTTTACCTCATATGGCAATCATCTATATTCTTTCTGATAATGGTGGTGAATTCGCAAAACGAAAACCCATGCTCCGTTCTTTTGGTGTCTAACATTTTACCACTCCCCTGCACACTCCTGAACGCAATGGTACCACTGAATGCTACCATCAACATATTATTGAAACTAGTCTCTCTCTCTTCTTCACACTGCATTCATGTTTCTTACTTTCTGGATTGAAGGCTTTCAAGTTGCATTATATATAAAACTAAGGTGTGGCACGCTACACTTTCATCATTGTATATGCATGTGGAGCCTGTCTTTTGATGTGATTAACTTGAGTAATGAACCCTTGTTTCCAGGTATATTGGATCAAAAAACATGTGTTTATTTGAGTGTGGCATTCCGCAAGAGTGGTGATTCTGATGCATGTAATCTTTGGTGAGATTTGTTTCTGGGCTGTCAAGGTGTTTCATTGGCTTGGCATTTAGTGGAGACTTTGGTGCAGAATTCTTTTAATATAAGAAGTTTTTATTTATTTGTTTTTCTTTTTGTTCCTGCAGGTTAGTTTGTCGAGAGTTGTCCTTGCAAAGTGAGGTAAGCCCACTGTGTATCCATTCTTTCCGCCATTGTTAAAAACACGAAAAATGACACTAAAATTAATGACACAGAGAACTATTTAATGTTGAATTGTTTTTTATAAAAAAATTGTTGAATGTTTGAATCAGAAAATTATGAACCATTTATGCATATTAAAGGCATATGGACCAATCTATAAAAACTGTATATAATAATTTTATACATGCTAGATGCTTTACAAATCCTTAGATAAGCATAGCCGAAGACCTTGTGGTCTAATGGCACCAAGTTGACTCTTCCAAATGGGAGGTCACTAGTTCAATCCCCAGTAGAGGCAATAACTCTTGGTGCTCTCAATAGGTTGAGAAAGTATGTATGAACAGATATTACAATTGTAATAGAGTTATTAGTGCTAATAAAAGATCTTTAGATAAGCATATGGTGGGACAATTTTGATATTTATTATTTTTAAAATAAATAATAACATGAGTGGAGAATACTTCATTTAGATAAGCATATGGTGGAGAAATAAAAACTTGGGTATGTACTTCTCTAATACCAGTTTGAGAGATAAGCAAGAAAATTTATTGTAGTCTCACCTGTTTATGATGATCTAGATTTTGAAAAATCTGATCTGGAAGAGATTGAAACTTTTCAAAGAGGAATGTTTTAAACACTTTTAAGCACAGATGTAGTAAAGAGAAGATTTATGGTGATATTACAGAACCATATGACAACAAATGGCACATGTTCCTACCTAATGAAATGAATCTTCAAGTCAAGTTAAAAGAAAAAAACTTGGCAATTCCCATCTATTTCAATTGGAACTTTCTGTGAGACGATATTGTGCCAACCCTAGAGATCACTAAAGATGTGAGGAGTTTTTTTAAAGAGTTGTAAGAAATATGATTGCTTAGAAATACTGTTGACATAATAAAGAGTTGTTGCTTTTCAAATTTAGTTTTTGAGAATTTTAATTCATCAAGGATGGCTATTGCTGTGTTAACAGGTTGCCTTAATGGCTGACATATTCGTAGAATCCAATTTCACATTTACAATTTTTACCCTTCTAATATATGTCGAAGATTCAACTTAGAGCTTAAACTCTCAACTTCCAGTTTTTTCTAGTTTTTTTTCAATTTTTTTTAGTTCCTTCATGTTTTTTCTAGTTCCTTCCCGTCTTTTCCAGCCAGTTTTCCCAACTATTTTCCAGTTTCTTCCAGTTTTTCCAACTATTCCCATTTTCTTCAATCTTTATTTACTCCCAAATAATGACTCTAAATATAATATATTTTTCATGTATTATTATAACTATAGTTTATAAATTATTTCAGTTTTTCTGTTTTTAATTTCACATGTCTCTATTTTGTCATGTATATGACTCTAAATATAATATATTTTTCATGTATTATTACACTTTACTAATTATTTAACTGTGTGGGTGCTCTTAGGCTAAATGCTTATACAAACAAATTAATTTTTCTTAAGGTTATTGGCAAGGAGAGTCCCTGTATAGGAGATTTTATGTTTAAGTGCATCTACTTCAAAATCATCCAGGTCTCAACAAATTGAGGTCAAGACTTTCGACGAAGTTTGTTAAAAAATTGAGTTACATTCCTAAATCCTATCCAACATCCTTTGAATTTTAATGTAAACATTCGCTCATAAATTTTCTTTAAAAAACACAAGTAAATAAAACTAATAAATGTAAGTCTCAATAAAATACTTTCAAAAGAAACTTTTATATATACTTTGGATCTAAAGGAAACATTTGACATTATTTTAATATCAATACAGAAGGGTCGTGTGTGGGTACTCTGTAGCATAGTGGGGTTTGAGCACTATGGGGCTTCGTGTTATACCTCCTGTAAGAAGTGCTCAAAGAAGTTGATCCCCACTAAGGAAGTTATTTTTGAGGAGAGCGCTACACTATCAATACAGAAGGGTCTTATTTGTGATATAAGGAGTATCAAATAGGTTTTGATTGAAAGTGCAGGTGGTTGATGATGCATGCAATCTTGCCTTATTGTTGTAGGATAAATATTGTATTCTATTATTTGGAAAACATGCAGAAGAACTGTCGAAGGAAACTATATGCCTTTTTTCGTTAATAAATAAATAAAATAAAAACATTTTGATTCCATTTTGTACTATTATTTCTTTAAACTTTTAAGTATATAAAGCTCTTTTTCCAGGTGATGGTGTCGGAATCCCAAAAGTGTTTAAATCCATCATGTTGAGTAATGCCGTTTGGATAGTGTAGCGGAAAACAAAAAATGTTGTATCCAAACGTTGTTACCATCCAAGATCGTCGTACGAAAAAATACAAATTATTGTAAGAAGAATATGTTTTTCTTGCAGAAATAGATCAGTGTTGGTGGAGGGATTGGTGAAACGACTTAGACACAAATAATCCAACCTCTAGCGCGTCTATACGAACAATAAACATCGTTCTAAGAAGAATTTATGCTAGTAACTTCTTCCTAGAATATGAAATACTCCCTCCGTTTCTTAAAACCCTTCCTCTTTCATTTTTTTTGTTTTTCTTAAAACACTTCTCTTTTCTATTAAAAAACCACTTTTACCCCTACTTTTTCATACCCTACCTATCACATCATACTTTTTCACTAATAACTAAACTATCACATCTTACTTTTACCCATCACATCAGGGGCAAAATTGGAAAGTCAACTAAAATTACACTTTCCTTATTTTTCTCCAAAGTCAAAAGAAGAACTGTTTTGAGAAACAGAGGGAGTATTAGTTAAGATGAACAAAAAAATATTTTGATATTTTCTCTTCTAGATTTTTTGGTTTTGCCTCTTGTGCAAATGTGCAATGCTGTGCATTGAGCATTAAGTATGAATGATATTTTACATTTATAATTCTGAACTACCTATTCTTTCTGTCAAGGTTTCCGTTTGTAACTTGTGCTTATAATCATAGATAGATTTTAATCCTTATGCTTAGTCTGTTTGTTGCATTAGTCAATCCTAGTTCACATGGAAGCTGGATGTTCATCTGGTCATGCAACTATTAGAGATAATAAGCGCGAACAAAGAAATTTTAGCTAGGTTCTAGCTTAGGTAATGTAAAAAAGAGAAACATGAAAACTATGGATTTAATAAGCGCCCAAGATTTCCCTCGAGCTTTTTTCTTGTTGAAGTGTTCTGCTGGACACTTTTTCATTTAGAAATAAATCTCTACTTTTCCTGTACTTTATCAGCTGCTTGTACTAAATGCTTCTTTGTTTTTGGATGTGATGCCAAAAGAACAAACCCCTATGATTTGTACAAACCATTATTCTCTTGAATCGCCTACAAATTACATGTACCATAATTTGCCCCTTGCTCTAAAAAGGTGTTAGATTGTATATTTTGTGGTGGACAACGGCATATGCAATATGAGCCCTTGGGGTTTTGTTGTTGCCGAGGTGAGGTTCTTCTTGCTTCAAGTGAGATGCCTGCTCTTTTAAGGGATTATTCGATCATCATTAATGACGTCAAAGCAAAACAGTTCCAGTATGCTGCTCACACATGCATGCAATGCGACAATACAAAAAGGTATCAATCTCATCAATACTTCTAAGTTATTAACTCTTTCTTAGCTTTATTCCTTCACACACTAAATCAAATACAAGAGGTTCAGAATATCCGCGGAAATGTCTGGTCAAATAGGAGCTATTCACTTCACAATCTTCACACAAGACCTTCAAAAGTTACTACGCCTGTTGGAAGTTAACTCAACTCCAGAATCCAGGAAGATGCACTTAAACAATCAACTTGTCTCTCTCAGCATCACAAGAGCCATCAAAAGAATGCCGCCCAATTAGCAATAGAAGGATGAAAAAGTACACTCACTCGTATGCATCAATGAATGGTCTACCCCAACTGAAAGTCCAGATGCCAACGATGACAACAAAAAAAGAATACAAATGGAGTAAGCTTTAACCTCTTTTAACTTTTGACGACATCAACCACAAACTGTTGGGACCCTGGAATATGGAGTATTAGTTCATACACCTAGTATATGTAAACTAGGCCTAAATGTAACAGCACCCTTTCGTACTTTTTTGGATGTATAGAAATAAAATATGTAATACTCCATATTCATTTACATAATTAATACGGAGTATAAACCACTTATTTATCTAATCTCGGGCACTCACATGCATCGCGTGTCTCCCGCTAGTTAATAATATAAGGCCATTTAAAGTTTTTTTCTGTTAACTTCGCTCTTTTTTGGTCTCTCTAACTCTACATCCTCTTCTGTTTCTTCACTGTCCCATTATCTGCTTTCTACCGTCGCACCTCCCCACGATTACTCCTTCAGTCCTTCTTCACTGCTCACCATCCCACGTTGAGGCCTCTCTTCACTGTCCATTCCCCCGTTAGGCCCTTGTTTCTTCTTCATTCTATTAATTTCCCCGTAGTGTTGTTTCCTTTTCAGTCTACGGATAAAGCTCCTTGTTCTTTCTTTGTTCTACCAATTCGTTCTTCGGAATCCGTGTACTTTCAGTTGGTTTGATTCAAATTGCAACTAGAGGGATTGAGTTTAAACTACACATTGCGGTGTTTGGCTTTAACAAGTACAATATTTCATCTCCAAATCAGACCAAACAATTTGATTCTTTTTACGGTACTATTTTTTCTCCATATCTTTTGTGCACTTTTTGTCAAATTTCAAAAAGGGAAAGTGATGAGTGCATATAGTTAGATTCAAGCTTGAACTAAATTTACACGGGTTTTCTCTCCTTGATTTAAAAGTTTCAAATTGAGTTTTACTCAAACTTCAATTCATATTTGCATGTGGCTTAATTTTACATTTTACTTGCTTCTGGAAAATGAATCTCCTTTTTATTTCAAGATTCTTAAGAATTTGACATGAATTTTTGTTACTTCATTTGGTGACTTGGTCTGAGTTTTAATTGTTGCTATCATTATCATTGTGTAGGGCTGTAGGAGTCTAGACACCCATTTTATGTTACCATATGTTTAAACATAGTATTAAACCTCTTTTTTAGTCTTCCCGTGATGTTTGTCTCTTTGATTATGTAGCAGTCTAAACATGTACGGAGTATTTTATTTTACTATAGGATTAAACATAGTATTAGGCATTTAGGCATCTCTTTTAGTCTTTTCAATTCATCTAATTGTAGAACTTTTTAACATGGAGTAGTTATGAAAATCTGCTCTCTTTTTTGATGTCTAAGGATCACATGTTTTTAATTTACTGATCTTTATGACACTACTTTCATCTCTTGGTTACATGTGGTCCTATTTGTTCTTTAATATGATTCTTTTTTGATTTCCATCATCTCGGATGGAGCCAAAATTTCACCATTTTTGGCTTTGGGATGTGATGGAATAAATCAAAATGGATCTCTAAACTGTCTGTGCTTCTTTAATTAATGAAGTAGCAGTTAGTTAAGCAATGCAACTTTCGACGTTGAGCCGGGGGTCTCTTTGGAAACAGCCTCTCTACTTTCGAGTAGGGGCAAGGTCTGCGTACACACACTCTCCC